CTTTGACTTTGAGGACAGCGAGGAAGAGGAGGAGGAGGAGGAAGAAGACTCGGTGGCCGAGCCGAGCGGCGAAGCGGTCCTCCGGGCACCCCCTCGCAGGCGGCGTGCTGCCAGCTCCAGCGTCGGTGAGGGGGGCAGGCAGGGGGGCCCCGATGTCCCCACCGTGTCCCCTTTGGGTGCTCAGGGTGGCACCGCTGCAAGCCTGGGTGCCAACGCCATTTCTCTTTGCTTTTCCTCTCCGCAGATGGGCTGGTGCCAGAGACCCAGGAAGGGTACGTGGGGTTCTGGGGGGATTTTGGGGGGTTTTGAGTCCCTCAAGGGAGAAAGCACAGCTTTGGGGTTTGTTCCCCCCTCTTTTGGGATGTCGCAGCCTGGCGCCGTGCCTCAATTTCCCCAACTTCTCCCCATTGCTTGCGAAAAGGGCTGCGAGCAGGAGAGCCCCGGGGTTTTGGGGTGCCCCAGGGAGCTGCGGGGGCTTTGCGTACCGCCAGGGCTTTGTGGTTAACTGGGTGGTGGGGGGCTTCCTCCGGTCCCTTTCCAAGGAGTGCAAATCTGGCTGCAAGGAGAGCATGTCCTCCCTGGCGGAGCATGCACGGGGCACAGCAAGAGGGACAGGACCCCCACCAGGGATGGGGACCCTCTCCCCGTGCTCCCGGATGCCGGCGCATCCTCCTGCCCCGCAGCAGCACGCGGACCAAGGCTAAAAAAGCCATTTTTGGGTCTTTTGCATCATCCCTGTGTGGGTTGCCTGGACCCACTTAAAAAGCCATCGTGACCCTAAAACCCAGGACCCCCCAAATCTGTGGGGGCACGAATACGAGCTTTATTCTGTGCTTGTGAACCCCTTGTAATAGGAACGGGGGGGGGGTGATGGGAGGGTGAGGTGCCTGGGTGCACCCGATCCCGGGGGATTTGCACCTGCTCCGGGGCGGTTTGCACCTCGGGGTGCTCCCTGACCCCCTTCCCCGCAGGCTGCCAGCGGGGGTGAGCAATGGGGAGGCTGGTGGAGAGCCCCACATCAGTGCCCAGACCTGGAAGAGGAAAAGCGGCCGCCGAGGTGGGTTAAAATGGGCAAAAAAACCCCAAAACCCTGCCAAGACTTGGGAAGGATTTCTCCATCCTGGCTTGATCCTTGGGTGGTGACCTGAAACCCTGGGGGGGTTTTCTTGTGTCCCCCCTCGAAGGTGAGCGCTTCGAGTTCCCAGCAGTGGAGGACGATGTGATCTATGACGACGTCCCCTGCGAAAACCTCGATGCCGAGCAGGACGGTAGGGACAGACCTTCCCCGCCCCATTCCCCGGGGACCGTGAGCCCATTTTCCAGCCAGGCAAACCGAGGCACGCTCCGGGAAGGAGACGCTTATCCTAGAAGAGGACGCGGAGGGGGATAACCCTAGGAAAACTGCTGGGATTTGGCAGGGATGAAGGCAGATGTGTTCCCGGAGGGGTTGCAAGACCCTGAGGATTTGGGACATCTCCTGTGGGTCCCTGGGGAGGGGAAATTGCCTTTCTGGAAGGAAAAGGAGCTGTTTTTCGCTTGCCAGGCCCGGGGACGGAGCGCAGCCTGATCTATGAGGAGGTGCAGCGCGGCGAGGGGCCACGGGCGGGCGAGGATTTGGGCTGGAGCTCCAGCGAATTCGAGAGCTACAGCGAGGATTCAGGCGAGGAAACCAAGCCGGAGGCCGAGCCGGCCAAGCAGCGGGCATCCTTCCAGCCCAAGGTAACGCTGGAATTTATTTTTTTTATTAGTAGTTTCCTTTATTTTTTTTCCCCTGGGTTTGCTTGTATAAAGGCACCGGAGCATCAAGCCTGGCTGCTCCTGCAGCTGGTGAAGCAGAGGATGCTGTGGTTCCCGGGGTCAGCCAGTGCAAAGCCAGCCCGAAACTTCCGGGGTTTCATTTCTTTCTTTTTTTTTTTTTTCTTCCTTCCCTTTTTTTTTTTCCCCTTTCCTTTTGCATTTCGGCGTTGCTGGAGCGTGGCTGCTGCCTTTCCCTGCACTTGCTCCCTTCCCCGCTCGAGTAAAGCCAGACTTTTGGGAAGATGCTGCCTGTACCGTGCTGCTTTGGGGTGATTTCTCCTCTTTTTTTTTTTTTTGGCTGCTTACCTGGATCTCTTCTCTGCCTTCTCTCGCCTCCTCTGCCTTCTCCTCCCGCCTGGTTTGCTTTGGGCTCAGCTTTCTCCAGACCTGAATAGACTAAAGGAGAGATACGCCAGGACTAAGAGGGACATCCTGGCTTTAAGAGTTGGGGGGAGAGACATGCAGGAGCTGAAGCAGAAGTACGATTGGAAGGTACTGTCCCTCCTCCGTCCCTTGTCCCCCAAATTTCCCGGGGGGGCGGGGAAACCCTCCCGGAGTTTATCCAGGCTGAATTCATCCCATTTCATCCCCCAGAAGAGGGAAAAAAAATTGACTTAAGCACCACAAAGCTGCCTCTCATGTCCATCTGTCTTGCAGCTCCCCGTCCTCCAGCTGCCCAAACCATTTGCTTTTTGGGTGTTTTGTTTTTTCTTAAGGGGCGTTTGGACGAAGCGAGGTTGCCCGCGGGATAGATGGATCTGAGAAGGTTTTTCCCCCCGATACGGGGTGGAAATCAGGTGGGGAAGGAGATTCTTGGGAGGCGTAGAAACTTAGTGCAAAGCCTTTCCCAGCTCCAAACCGTCCAGGTTGGCAGTTTGTGGCCAGTTTGGACTGGGAAGGCGACGCCGATGTCAGCGTGGGCTAAAAATGCTGTGATTTGAGGTGTGAAAGGCCAACACCCCCCACCCTTTGCTCTCTCGCACACTAAAACCCCGGCCGCGAGGAGGGGATGGATGCGCTCGTGCCTCCCTTCCCTCCCTCCTCTTCGCTTTCGCTGCATGCTCCCGCTTTGCCCGCGCCTGCTTGCACGCGGCCGTGTCCCTGCGGAGGGAGGAGAGATGCTGGAGCATCCTTCTTCCTCGGCCACGCGCCTCCTCTTCCTCCCTGCTGGGCTGCGTGGGAAAACGGGGACGACGCTCGGAGGGGACGTCCCCAAGGGGATGGCACTGCCGTAGCCGGACCCGAAATGGGGTCCCGGTGCTGCCTCGAGCCTCCTGGTCCCTCTCGTCCCCCTGCCCAGATGACCCAGCTGATGAAAGCAGCCAAAAGCGGCACCAAGGATGGTTTGGAGAAGACCAAGATCGCGGTGATGAGGAAGGTGACGTTCCTGCACCGGAAAGAAGCACCAGGTAAGCGGGGAACCACCCTCCCCCTCCCCGCTTTTGAGAGCCAAAAAAAAAAAGCCTTTTTGAGGGTATTTTAAAAAAAATTCGTTATGAATCCTTATGGCTTTCAGCTTTTCCTTTTGCTGATTTATTTTCTGCGTTTTAAGCTCTTATTTGATCCTTTTCACTCTTTGCATCCCTGTGCAAGCTTGGTCAGTTCGGCTCGCTCCTTGCTCCAAGCACCCGTGTCCTTTTGGGAGCAGGACAGCGACCCCACCACGTCAGCACCCACGGGTGCCCCCCTTGGACACAGAGCAGGATCTGCCCTGAAATACTGGTTTTGGGGTGTTTTCCTAACCCTCCCACTGTCGCGTAGGGGATGGGGAGCAGAGGAGGAGGGCAGCGGAGGCGGAAAAGCAGCCGCCTGCCCGCTGGAGCTCGAGGGTCTCCCTGGAGCATCACGGGGGAGGTAGGATCCCGGCGGGCGGCCTTGCAGCTCGGCCGGGGCTGCCCGGGGGATCCGGCGTGTGTGTCCTGGCCTCGCTGCATGTTCCCGACGCGGCTTAGCCTCACCGGGGTGGGGGCTTAAATGCTCTGGGGGTCCCCGGGGTGCTGGAGGGCATCCCGTCCCCGGGGTGCTGCAGAGCATCCCGTCCCCAGGGCGTGGAGATGGGGAGAAGGAGCTTGTGGAGCCGGCAGCCAAGGGCGGCGAGGCTCCCTGCCAAAATTAGGGAAGGAAAAAGGGCACACGGGCGCCAGCACGCCCCCCCCC